ATTAATTTTATATAAATAAAATCATATCATTTCCAACTTTTAAATAAAAAAAACAAAACTAAAATTAATACACTCATTATCGAGTAATAAGGCTTTTTTTTTTGGCGAATTATTTTTGTAATTCTTTTTCATTATGCCAAAAAAACAAAAAAAAAAAAAGAAGCGAAAATAAATATGGTTCGAGAAAGGGGTAGGTGTTTATCATAAGAATGGTGGTTATCGCTACTTGTCGTTACTCTAGTTATATATAACCTCCTTTTATTTTATTTATTTAGTGCAAATGAAGAGAATAACGAAGACAATTACAAAGATAATAATGTAAGAGTATTTATTTCAATAAATTAATATCTAGTGTTCAATATTGCGAACATTAATTCAACAATTTTTTTATGCATTATTCTCCATAAATAATCTTTTTAGTACTGGAAAAAAAAGTAGAGATATTAGAAAGAGAGAGGCGGCAAGATTAGAAAAAAAAAAAAAAGGAAAAGAATGCAGGTAAAGATCACATCGTATACAATATCAATTCGGAAGTTGATACGAGTGTGTGAATTTATTTTGAATCTTAAATTTACCACAATGGTTTAACATACATAATCTTGAAGATCAAAAACCCTTTTCAGATTGGACATTTCCTTTCATAGCTGAACTTTTTGGTTTTTCAAATAAATTGGAATTGTTGGATAAATTTAAAACTGGCAAGCTATTCATTAAATTATAGTCGTCACCACCTTAGGAATTCCATGTTTAAATTTTTTTTTTACAGAGGGAAAATCAATTAAATCTGATAGTGACAAAGAGAGGTCTGGGTCACTTTACCGACACCCACTTCACCGACAACACGCGGGATTACTTTTAACCTCCACACAATCAAACAACTACATCACGCCACGTGTTGTCGGTAAAATGGGTGTCGGTAAAGTGGACGGGACCCACAAAGAGAGAGCATTTGATCACTTATTTGAAGAGCTGAAGGTAAACAAAATTTCTATATTATTTATTATTTTTTATTTTATTTTATTTTTACGAGAATTTTATAACTCACATTAAGAAAATATAGATTCGAACAAAAGTGATTAAATTGACAAGTAGCTCATCTGAAAAGACACGTTCACATATAATATTTCCATTTTTGGCTGCTGCATCATCTTTATATAATGGCGATTTCTCAACGGCTCACATGTTCGAAATCAATAACAAAAGATTTTGAAAAGGCTAAAGGATGTATCATTCTCGCAATTTATTTATTAATATTAACATAAATTGAACGTACATTATTTGTTTATTCTACATCATTTATAAAATCATGTATATCTCTTAACATTTCTAATTCTTCATCATCTAAAACATTGGGTGCGTCTTCAAAATATTTGAGCAAATTACTTTCAAACTTATTAAGTGCATTCTTAGCCACTGTATCACTTAAAATATTTCTCTATGTGAGAATCAAATTAAAATTATTTTAATAATATTATTATTAATCACAAATAATATAATATATATATTTGAGTGTAGTTAAACTTA